TTTGTGGCTGTTATGTGACGAAAAGTGTAAAAAGTCTAAGAAGTATAGAGATTAACTTTGTAAGGCAGCACATCTTCTGGACTGAGAACATAGTAGGAGGGAGCTAAACACTAAGTCGCCCTTAAAGCTATTTGCCGTTGTATCAACCATCCGGACCGCTCAGGTCTTCTGGTTCTGGAGTTTTAAAATGTCTCCGGCACCAAACATGGGGAAACAGCATTCAGCTTCTATGCACCACAAATCTGGAACAAGCTTTGGGAAAATTGTAAAACAGCTGAAATATGAGGTTCCTTTACATCCAGACCAGAAACCCAGCAGTTGTTTTTGTACCATAATCAAAGAAACACAAACCAACATGAACCCTTTGGAACCAACCAACCAAAAGGTTGATGTGTAATGACTGCACTTGGAAAAATGTGATGCTTCAACAATTGTGCCACACAAATAAACTTGATTGATTAGTTTGCTTATGTTCCACAGCTGAAAAGAAGCGATAGTTTAAAAGCAGCAAAACGTTAATCACTTGTTGAAATCCTATAAGGCTGTAAGCATTTCTATCAGGCTCATAAAAAAGATCAAATACAGTTCATTCACCGATTCTTGTTTTATTATGAAGTTGCCAATTACACGGCAGCCATCATGTTATAAAAAAAATCCCACATTACATTCACAGGTTCCAGTCACATCGTCTCACACGGTTCATACAGCTAAGTTCTTCGGGTGAAGCAACAGATAACAGTCGAGTGAGGTGTTTTCAGGTCACTTTCACAAGGAATGCCACCGGTGTTTAGGAAATACCTGAGGAGCAGCTTAGTGTGACAACATTTAAATCAACTGCAAACGTTCAGACCTTTTAAAACGAAGAAGAAGGGAGAAGTCAGGCTGATGCGTTATGCAGCTACTACTGTGAAGTCAAATGTTTTCTTCGCAGAGCAAGACGAGGATGAAAAAAAAGCTTTGGAAAAAGCAAACTGGTCATGTTTCCGGCCTGATCCCACCACACCCACGATCCATAACACTGCAACATCTGGAGTCATAAACGACCTCCTGTAAACTTCAAACAGATCAATATGAACATTATTCACCATTTTAGAGCACCAAAACCAGGTTAAACAGTTAAGCCTTATTGCTTTACGCTCCTTTTTTTTTCACATCACAAATCTGCTTGATCACATTATTAGAAGAAAGCAGAAACCACTTATGGATTATTTGGTGACTGACATCAGACACCTCAAAAGGAAAACTGGGGAAAAGCCCCAAAAATAGATGGAACAACAGGGGATAAAGCCTGAGGATAATCAGACGGTAGAAAAATGCAACTCAAATAACAATGTGGAAGGCTGCAGTAGCAGGCCGTCAGCAGTAAAGCACAGTGTTCCTCCAGTTTCTCACAGCTTGGCACGTCGATGGCTGGACATTATTAGACAAACAGTTATGAACAACTTTTTAACTTCAACCGAAAGCAATCCCTACAAACACCTGAGACACGGCGATGCAAGAGTGAAAGTTTTTACTAAAAAGAGGTCTTGGTAACAAAACAAAACAAAAAAGAGGATAACAAATATCCAGTGATGTGTTAGGAATATTGATTGCATAAAATTTCCATAGATCAAATAGTCAGTCAGCATATAGCCCCTATTTCCCACAATGCCAAGCTGTCTTAATGCACATAGAAACACTCTCAGCAGCTTCATTTTATTTTGCTTGGTGTAATTTAGTGAGCAAGCTTCTTTCAATCAGCAGATGGAGCTGCATCTCAAACCTTTTACTTGCTTGTGCATGTTGTAGATCATTTGTAAAATATAATATTTATAGCACTTTAGTTGAAGTAAAATGAACAAAGTTCATTAGATTGAAAGGACTTATCCCACAGTAGGCTAAAGAAAAAAAAGACAAAGCCTCTCCTTAACAGTGAAGCAAAACGGTTGCAGTTCTGGAAGAAGAACCTGAAAGAACTATTGAATTAGTGTGAGAACTCCATAAACAATCCTACGTAAAGAGCAGTTATGTATAAAGACAACATGTGTAGTTTTTGTAGCATATAGTTAATGAAATATTTTGGGGAAAATCTGAACACCTTTCACAAACCTCAACTGAAGCAAAACTTACAATGAACATGTGTTTTATTAAGTTTTGCTCCCAAAAATTTGCGGGGCATCTTTAAAAATAAAGCTCATTTATAACTTTGCCGTCTGAAGAAAACCACAGAACTTGCAAAAGTGGTGTTATTGTTGGGCTTCAAGAAAAAAGACCATTTCAAACTGCTCTGTATGGTCGCGAATACTTTAGGCGGTTGGGGCTCATTGCTGCATGGATTCCCTTTTCTCCCCCTCAGAGATAAACGTCCATGGTGTTGAGGATCATGTGACGGCACAGAGGACAGTTCTGTTGGTAAATGGGCTGCCTCAGAAGGATGTTGGTGCAGTCCCTACACAAGCAGAGGTGTCTGCACGGCAGCAGCACCACCGTCTTGGTGCAGTCCTGACAAATAACACACTTTTTCCTCTCCTCTTGCTCTTTTAATAGAGTAAGCAGACTTTCGGCAGGCAGAAGTTTGCCGTCTTTGCCTAAAGATGACGATGGCGATGTCCTTAGCGAGCCATCGGAACTCGATGAAGGCAACTCCTGCAGTTCCTGGTGGGCTCCGTCTCCTGCTCTTCCGTCTGGTGGGTCCCGCTGCTCCTCCCCGGTGTCGCCGTCTCCTCTCCCTCTGTTGGCATTGTCAATTTGGAGCAGTGTCCGCAGCACCAGGCGCAGAACGGACAGCTGCTGCCAAAACATCCTCTCCCGCAGGTAGAGATGCCGAAACCTCCTCTGTAGGTGCTGCATGTTGCTGTGTAGAGAACGTGGAGTGCTCCACAGGACTGTGAAGCGCAGCCACAGAGTCCCATAAAGTCTCTGCAGAGCACGGAAGGAGTTGACGTACACCAAAATGTGCACGGCTGCTTGTCGACTCAGTCTGGGGTTCAGGTAGGCGGTGGTCATCAGAGCAATGGTGATGGTAAGCAGGAGGCCGTAGATGTTCAGGATGAAGATGGAGACGAACATGTGGACAAGGGCGGCAACAAAATCCAGGAGCAGTTTACAGGGAGACCACAGAAATGCCGACGTTCCAACCAGGCTGCTGTACAGGAAGGTGAAGAAGGTCAGGGTGAGCTCCAGCGCCTTCTGCAGTGGACTGGACACCGTCTGCCACACACCCACAAATGCCACGTAGATGTTCTGGGTGGCGATGAGGGCAAAGTTCACCACTGTGTTTGTGAAGTAAACCACCAGGCTGACAACGATGCCACAGCCCTCCAAGACTGACACCAAACCCCTGCACAGGTGCTCCTTCCCCCGCAGCAGGACGTGCATGGACAAGTAGCCCACCATCTTCAGACTCTCCAGGAGCCCCTCCAGGGCCAGGAGCGCGCTACCCAACAGGGTGACTGCCCCGTGGGCCAAGCTCGATGTCGTTTCTGCCACGTGTATGGCGGACAACAGCACAAGGTTCCCCATCTGCAGCAGGAGGTTGACGATCAGGGTGGGCAGATTGGTGATGAAGGTGACGATCGCCAGCACAGTCTTCACCACGGTGTGTACGATCAAAAAGTTCAGGTCCAACAGAACCCCGGCGACATCCAGGCACCTCCCCACAGTGGATATCACGACGTTCACCAGCCCCATGGTGGATTTAACCGGTTACCTCTCCGTGTTCAGCGGCGGTCTCCATGTGCATTCCGGCCGGATCTCAGCAGCATCAACGTTACATCTTGAACGGTTCTTGACTTCTGCGTCAGCGTCGTCCGGCCCGGTTCTACAGTACACCATTTCACCTCGTGACACAAAAACCCGTCTTTCTGTGCGCGTTATTAACGTCTTCTGCTGGACGAAAGGACGCGATATCGTTACAAACACACGCGTTCCCCAGAAGCGGATGTTTGGTTTCAAACCGTTCGCACTTCCGTTTGTTTTCCTGGTTTCGGTTTAGCTCTGTGGTCCGACTGGGATCTAGAAAGGCTTCCTCGGTTGAACGGCAAGGTCCCAGAATAGGTAGAACCTGGAACCGGGTCGAAGAAAGCCAGATAAAACTAGAAAATAAACCCCACCGCGACATTTAAGGCGTTTATCGTCGTTTTCAGCACCGCCATATTTGTTTTGGTCACGTCAGCTGACCTTTGTGATAGGTCTGACGACACTGAAACCTCGGCGCATGCGCCGAGCAAACAAGGCGAAGCCCCGTGTCTGTGCGCGTATCTCTTTAAGGAAAACCACGTGACCGATACAGTTCCTGTGTCGTTTGGTTGTGAACGCGCCAAATTGTATTTATAAACAGAAAATGTATCGACACGTTTGTGGGTTTTGTTGGATGGAGATAGTTTGTGTTGTTTGGTTTGTCATCGAAAACTATGATCAACCAAGGAAGAAAGAGGAAGTTTTCTCCCGTGTGGGATCATTTTGATCTTATCACGGAGAATAAGGTCAATTATTATTCCGTTCTCGTTTCCACTATTGATCATTCTTCTGTCGGGTTATTCCAGTTTCTTTCTGAAGAATACTTTAATTAGTTTACATGGATTAACTTTTATTTCTATTGCAGGTGAAATGTATACAACATCACGTTGTTGTATAAAATTGCATTAAATGTCATTTTTTTAATACCGAAGAGGTATTAAAAAATGACATTTTTTTAATACCAAAAAGGTTACAATTGCCCATTTTTTAACCTACTATATTACGTTTTACTGCAATTGCACTTTAAAATTTTCAAGATAGAAATACGTCAGAAGGAAGAAACTGCAGCATTCATCTCGAGTGATATGTAAACAGTTAAAAAAAAGAATACAATTCATTTTTTCTTTTTTTTTTGTTTTCTTGGCAATTGGCGATTGGGCCAAAGATGTTAACGCAGCTGTTGTTTCTAAATAAAAATATGTGAATGAACCTTGTTCAGTCTGTTTCCAGTCTTTATTGAAGTTGCCTGCAATTACTTTTTAAATCCAGCAGATGTCGCCATTGAGTGACACAGCCACACAGTTTCAACACAGTGTCGACACAGTTTGGGAAATGTGCCATACACCCAGTGGGGCCTCATCCGCCCATCACTATCTGACCTCGCTGCTGGGTGTGGGAATTTCCACTCTCCTCCGGGATCTACACCTCTTGGCTCAAAAAGAATCGATTCTTGCTTATTTTACTGCGTTTGAACCTGGGTTTAATTGAAAACAACAAGGAATAATAATAAGTAGGCCATCCATGTAGACATGCAGATGTCTAAGATTCAAATTGATATGAAATACAGCAGGCTTTCAATGACAGAAAAAATTGAACAATTTGTAAATTCAGTTTGTTACAAACTAAGTTTACATTGACAAAGTTTACATTTTGTCATTGTAAACTTTACACGATGCAAAGGGAATTGTGACTCAGTATGTAAGGTTTACATAAAGTTGGAGATACACTTTACATTTTGCAAAGTTTACCTTTACATAAAACGCTTTAGAAAAACCATTGTGGAAAACAATAACCATAAACAATGCAACTTTATTATATATTTAATTATAAAACCGTCATTAATGTCCCAGTACCTACTTAGGTAAATGACAACTAAATTCATCTAACCACATAATTCTACCACTGACATTTTTATTAATCAAACTTGCTAAAGAACTGTAGAGGAATAAACCTGTGGAGCTTTGTGAGAATAAGCTAATGAGTTGATTGATTCTATGACTAAGAGGAACATGAACATATTGTCCCATTACATCAGTAACTCTTGCGACAATGCAACAGAAAAAGCTTTACAAACCAGAACAATTTGAACTGTACTTCCTTCCTTGTCCAAGCCTCAGCATCGAGCTTCTGTGTTACGGCGGGAAGCCGATACCATCATGGGAAATTCCGTTCTGGACCTTTGCATAGATGACAAACAGCAATTGTTTTAAATTCCTAATAGTGCCAATGGGGATGCATAGGAGGAGTGCGTGAAGCTATAAAAGGTGTGGATACATTTTTTCTTTTTTGTCTCTTGCTAAGAGCTTTAAGAGCCAGCAGGCCAACAGTCAGCTTCCTCTGTTTGTTTTCTGCTCAACCAAACCCTTCCTCTCTAAAACGACAAGAAGTTCAAAGGTATGTTGTCTTAAACCGAATTTGTGGTGTTAAACTTTCAGCTCTGGATGATGCCTAACATTAAAAAACGGTTCGATCAATTGAAGAAAAAAAGCACAATTTGAATCCGCGCCTCGACCTTTTGAAGACTCACAATATGCGTTGAAAACTTGAAAAAACATGGCGTGAAAACCAGCCAAGGATGAAGAGGAGACAGTTGGAAAAAGCCATTGATATTTGGATGAGTAATTTACTGCATTTGGACTTTGACATCCTCTGAGACACTTCCACTCACAGAGGAGAGCATCCTCCTCTTTGTCTGCTTCTCAGCTTCCTGCAAGTGACTCAAAGCTGCACTGCACCAGTTATAGCAACAGTCCAGCTGGCAGTAAGTCAAGTCACGTTTATTTGTGCAGCAGCAACAGTTCAAAGTGGATTACATGTGAAAAATGTAAACGGTTGTGTTGACGACAGCAAACAAGCAACAGACATTAGACTTGATCCAGAAGACCTGAGTGGTCTGGGAGGTTGATGCAATAAAAACAAGTCTCCAGTGTGTTTCGGAGATCATCCGTTCAGTAATTTATAAACCAACAGAAGTATTTTAACGTCTATTCTCTGAGATACAGGGAGCCAGAGGAAGGACTTTAGAACTGGTGTTATGTGCTCCATCTTCATAGTTTTAGTGAGAATGTGAGCAGCAGCGTTCTGGATCAGCTGCAGCTGGACGATTGACTTTTTATGCAGACCTGTGAAGAGAGTGATGACATCAGCGAGACTAAAGATAACAGCAATTATATGCACTGATGTTCTTCACATTTGGTCATGTCACAACTACAAACTTCAATATATTTCATTAGAATGTTAAGTAATATATATCATCACATAATGGGGAAGTAAAGAAAAGCAACAAAACATAATACATGTGTAGGTGTGTGTTTGTGTCACCCCCAAGAACAATAATAATCATGCATGGTTTTAAAGTGTATTTACAATCTGAAAAGTGTGGTGTGTGTTTGAATCCTGAAAGAGCAAAATGTAGAAATGCTCTTTGGAAGATCACAAGTCTCAAGTTTTGTTTTTTTTCTTCTTTTTGCTGAATTGAAGTGTGTTTCCTCATCAACACTGCAACACTTCTCCGCCCCTGTTAAGGAAAAGTATCACCGCATCATGATGCTGCCACCACTTTGTTTCACCCTTGGGAAATTATGCTGATGGGAGATGTGCACATAAAATCCAAATAGGGACATAACATAAACCTTTATGAGGCAGTGGTACCAATGTTTTTGTGATGCACTGCATATTTCTGCAGACTGTGGTCAAACCAGTATATACATTTATTCAGAACAAGCTTCTTTACTGGTTACATAGTTTTTTGAAGCAGCTCTCGCACAGGCTGCTTCCTCCATCGAATTAGGCTGGCCTTCTGTTCCCAGATGTTGCAGTTTATTTTGGGATGTGATGATGTTTTTGGCTGCTGATCAGTACACCAGTTTCACATAAACTTACATCTAGAATATGTTCAGAGTCAGCGCGAGTGAGTTCTGGCCAACTCTGGTAAAAAAAAAAAAAAAAAACACAAACTCCACTCAGTGGAAATCAGTGGAGGGCAGACTGGTCCAGACCCAGATTGCGACCCTGAATTCCTCTCAAATTTCTCCGTCTCTGCTGCTCACTCAGAAGCAGTGACTGAAAGAAGACAGAGAGTAAAAGGTGAAGTTGAGGAAGGAACCTTAACTTCAGAGAGATGACGAGGGGAGGACTAAGAATGTCGGGGGTCCCGCAGTGTGACATTCCTGCCTTCTCGGGGCTTTGTTTGTGTGTCTGCAGGATGTTCAACAGATTGCAGGCAGCAGCATCAGCTTCCTGCTCCGTGACTCATAATGCAGCAGCACATTATTTTATTAAAAACATTTGTTCGAAGTGTCTTGTTGTCCCTCACAAAGCTCTAATGTCTTTATGCGTTTCTTATTCTTGAGACAACGTGGCTTCTTATTAGAACTAACGACAATGTAAACAGATTTCTGTTTTTCTGAACTGAAACATGATTATTAGGTACATTTCAGATGCTTTAGAAGTTGTAAAAATAAATAAATGTTTATTGTGTTGTTTGTAAAGTTATATTTCTTTTATGAAAAAATTAGTTAATGTGTGAAAGGATTGGTCTCCTTCACCTCCTTCCTGAGGTATTATTGAAGAAATATACACAAACAACCAAACTCAGCCAGGAGGAAGGTCTTAGCGCTGTCAATCATCCCCGTGTATACCCAGTTCAGTGTGCTAATGGTGGAGAAAGACCTTACCGTTATTGGAAAACTGTTTATCAGCTGTCATCGGTGGCCAGCGTAACCAGTCTGCGAGGCGACAGAAGAGCTTGATTTTTTTCAGAGATGATTTGTCTCACACCAAATTTTCAAAAAGTGACATACTGCAGCTTCTCGTAGGGATCGGTTCTGAAGCTGCTCTTATTTTATTTATTTATGTCTGAACTATTAGAAGAATCAAAACTTAATACATGTAAAGTGTTTGACTAGTCATGAATCTCCAACATGCTTCACATTTATCTCGTGTTTTTCCAAGCTAAAGTATTTATGTTGTCATTTTATGTTCTGTTTGATACCTATGACACATGGCAGAAACATATCAGTGGGTTAATTTATTGTGATTAATGCCATTACAACATGTAATCACCATGGAGAGGCAATGCGAAATTCTCCTCCGCTGCGGTCATCACAGTGTCTCTTTGTCCCACTCCCCGCTGCTGTGACGGAGTTTAGCAGAAATTCAGATTTCTCTCCCACTCCTCCCTCAATCAACTGGTGCCCTCTCAAAGCCCCCACGTCTACTGCAGCGACTCGTACAATGGCCGTCTCTCATCCTGGGCAGGCGGAGGACCCCCAAAACAAGTTGCTCTTGGGTCTGGGCTGAGTGGCTTGGAAAGAATGACTTCTTTTCCTCCCTTTCCTTCCTTTTAGTCTTTCCTTAGCCCACGAGCACAGCTCTGCGGACTCCGGTGAGATAAACAAGAAGATTCATCGCCAGTCTCTGAGGAGAGGTCGGGACACTCAAATCAGGAGCTGAAGTTTCAGAAGGTCAAGGGTCAGGAGCAGAAACAAGTGTTAATTTATGCATTTTATTGTTGACATAAGCCCTGTAACAGTACCAACAAACCACCGTTTCAAACAATGATTTAGACTTTGTTTTTGTTGTTCCAATTCATTCTTTTCAAGTTTTCACTCTGGCTACAGAAAAGGTTTTGACTGAGTTAAATCCTAATTGTACTTTTTTTTCTGTGCCTAATGCATTAAATAAAATGTAATAACATTGTCATTCTCTATGAATGGATGGTACAGGTTTAGATCTCTGGTCTGGGTTACAAATAAACCATTTCTAGGGGCCCCTGAATGTCTGGAGGCCCCTGAACGGCCCCTACCAGCAGCTACTGAGTTTTATTTGCCTTGATATTCCAGTCTTACAATTCTAGATCTCAGAGGTGCAAACATCAAACAGTTATATAGAGTTAACCCCTTGGAGCTTTTTAAATCAATAAATCAGTCTGCAACCAAGTTGTTCTAGAGCTTAAATAGATATTATTAGGGCTTAAGTAGTAAAATATCATCAAATTTGCTTACTTCATAACTTCATAACCTTTGACCTTTTCTCCTCTGGTCTGTTTAACAGCTTCAGATCAACTCAGCCCTCCAGGACTGTCAGCAACTTTATACCTGTTGGGGAAAATAGACTACAACTGCTTTGCTTTGTCCTGGCATGATGGCAATTATATAGCAGCATCCAATTAAATTCTTGATTAAAATGGGTTGTTGCTGTGTTCAATGCGCCCTTTTTTTAACTTTGAGCCCCTCCAAAGGTCTCTGCTTTGAATTAGTTTATTTAATTATTAACACAAACCAAATATTTGTCTGGAGAGCACATTAATGTTTCCCCTCTGGTGAGTGCGTAGGTTTATGAATGCCGCTGTAGATGGTTCACAACTCTGCAGTCGTTGGGAACTTTGTGGGGGAGTGGAGAGTTCTTGTTTCCTCCGCCTCATTCCCAAACCCAGCGGTCCTTGGGTATTCCCAAAAGTCCAGTCCAGGATGTCAGATTTGAAAAGGTTGAAAAGGGGACATTCTTGAAATTTGCTCATGTGGAATTCTGAGTGGAAAAAGAAAAATCCCCCCTTATATCTGATTATTTACTCTAAGTCTCCGTCAGCCACACCCAGCTGCTTTTTTAACGACTCGATCTTCCTTCACAGATTAGGTGGCAGAAATATTTTAGGACTTGCGAGTTTCACTGAATTATAATAAAACATAGTTTACACTCCTCTGTATTTTGACATATGGTTCTTTTAAGAAACAATTTTTGTTGGAAAGAAATGTTTGTTCTATGGAAATATATTTGCCTTTTCGACTGAATAATGCAACCTTTTTTTTTTTTAGCTTATGTTGTAAAATCTTTTTTATTGATTTTATGTCATAATCAAATTTTCTAACAATGACTTTTGCATTTTACATTACGTGAATCTGTAAGCCATTCTGATTTAAATGACTAGAAACAAGTTTTATTGACATATATCAGTTTACTGAAAATACGAGTTTTACTTTTGTTTCAGCTGCAATACTGAGATTTCATGATGTGGCAGTACGTCACAAAAGATTCGAATATTCTGTAAAAGTGCTACGTTTCTTGCCAATCGTCTCGAAAAGTGAAATGGTAATTTTTTAGCGATTCATTACGTTTCAATATTTTAAGCTTTTATTTATTTAGCTTAAAAAAAATAGTTGATCACAACAACTAAAATTTAGTGTTACACTTTAATTTAAACTATTGTTTCTGGTTTTCTTCCTGGAAGGTGAACCACTGGCCCCGCTTCAAGTCTTAACAGAGGATTTTATCTGAGATTTCTTTTCTTTTTGAAGATAATTCCCTTAGGAGCTTATTTTAATCTTTCTATTGTGTAAACTGATGGACACACCTTCAACAAGAACTTCGTCGCCAGCAGGCGATGCAGTAAAACCAAAGCTCAGCCAGTCAGTGATCACCACTCAAGATCTCGTCCTGAGTGGTTCTATGATTGATCACCACAGCCACACATCAAGACCTCCAGAGGGTTTCCCCCTCTCAGCAGCTTTTCTGTTGGTGAAAGCAAAGAAAAATGACCAAGATTTAGCACTTTCATCAAGGAAACGTTTGTGTTTCAGAAACAACAAAGGTGTGGCAAATTGGGCAGCGACTTGCTCGCATCATTTGTGTTTCCTCTCAGGCACCCGCCCTCCTCTCTGCTGGTCTTGCCCTCTCTCTCCCCCAGTTGTTCCTCCTTCGTTTTATCCGCTGCAAAAGATATCTGACTTGCCTGCTCAATAAGCTTTGGGATGAAAGCATCAGTCGGAATAATTGTCTCTAGAAAGCAGACACAGCGCAGCTGCAGGAGAGTTACAAAAGAACATCAGAGGTGGTGGAGCAGCAGATGAGAACAGCCAGAGTGTCTGAGTGCCTTCATCCCTTTCTTTTTGCAGTGGAGGAACTATGTTCCTGTCTCCCTCCCTCTCTCTGCATCATCTGCCTCCTCACGCTGCTCCTCTCTCTCTCTCTCTCTGCCTGCTGTGTGTATCGAAGCAGTCCGCCAAGTGAGGAGCAGACTTCCTCCAAACACACCTCAGCACACACATCTCTGCCTCCGATCGACCACCATGGGTGTACGGGACGCTGCCTCTGCCCTGCTGCTGGGCCTGCTGTGCCTCCTTCACACCTGGGGAGGTGAGTGAGTCGCTGCTGCTGGGTTTCAGGAAGGACTGGGCTGCTTTAGGAGGAACGTCAGTCAGGACTGCCTTGCAGGATTACCACACAGACGCGCCACTAAGTGAAGAGCAAGAAGAGGGCCCAACTCGGAGAGCATTTGTCACATTCGAGCATGGCTTGTAATGAAGTTAAGACTAACTCTGTTACTATTATCTTAGCCACTAAAGGAAGCTGTTTATTTACAAGAACAACTTTTCTGTTCTGCTCTGGTTCTTATTTGACTTTAATTATTTCATGCACATTCTCAGGAATCCTTTATGCTCTTTTTTCCAGGCAGAAAACAGACTGAAGTGACCAATTTTAACTAATTTTTCCTGTTAATTTCAATGCATTCCCTTTGCACAGAAGTAATGTTGATGCAATTCTGCTGCTTACATCTGCAGAGGACTAAGTAGTCCAATGGATGACATGAACAAGAGTCAGACTTGTTCACTTGTTGCATATGAACTTGGGAAGCTGCTCTGCTACAGTGATCAAGTTTCCATCCTATCTGCTGCACGCTATCTGAAGTTGTGCTGGACTGCGTGTATTTTTAGCCGGCAGCAGCGCCCACAGAGGTGCAGAATGAGGGAGAGCTCTGTCTGCTCTCTGTCACTGTCCCAGCAGTGATCAAGTGGCTCCGGGCTTCCCGGGCAGCGCAGAATAGCTCCACTATGTTCCTCTCACTCTGAAACGCACGTCTGAACTTCATGTGGCGCTGTTCAGGCTCGGAGAGAGAGGAAGGGGGGTGGGGGCAGACACGCTGTGAAATCTGCTCTCAAGTGTAGGAGTGCATTGCCTTTTCTTTTAATAGAAAGTCCTGAGATGTTTATAATTTCATGCATTCTTAAGCACAAGATTTACTCTTGGTTCTTTCTTCAAACAGTGCAGGCCTTCCTGTCTTCATGGCTTCCCCTTTGACTCTCCTTACACCTTTTCCTCATCTCGGTTTGTCACCAACCCCACAAACCTTCCTCCTTCTCCTCCTCCTCCTCTTCGCCCTTGATGTATTGTGCTGAACCTCTGTTTGAGTTCAGGCTATTGTCGGTGATCTCTTCGTGTTCTCGCTCCCCATTAGCAGGCCCGCTTCCGGGTCTTGTCCTTTGGTGACTTTCAAAGTGAATGACTTTTCACTTTGAAAGTCATTCAAAGAGATGAATGACTTTGTGATGAAGTCATTCATCACAAATACATAAATCCACGCAGCCATCCATTCTGTCGTCCTAATCAGTTTTCTGATCTCGTGCGACTGCAGACAGAGAGTGAAGCACTGTGAGCACATTTTGAACGAGAAAATTTCACCAAACGTTTTGCCCGGTGTTTCCTTAAACAACGACAAATGAAGTGTCAAACATGCAGAGTTCATACATGTCACCAGCACAAAGTAGTGCATAAATCTGAGGGTGAAGAATATGTTTTTAAACAATGTTTCACAAATAAAATCTAAATGTCCTGAATCAGTCCTGGTTAAAACCACTACAGTGCACAGCGACAAAACTGGCAGCGCTGTTGCTTTGCAGCGAGAAGGTCCTGGCCTGCAGGAGTCTTTCTGGATGGAGTTTGCATGTTTTTCAGTTTATGTGTGAGTTCTCCACAGGCTCCGTTTCCTCCCCAAACCGTGACTGTTAGGTTAATTGTTGGCTCTAATTGCCCTGAGGTTTGCGTGCATGGTTGCTTGTCCTATTTCAGGTTGTTCCCTGCCTCTTGCCAAACGCCTGCCAGAGATAGGCACCAGAGCTGTGCAACTCTGCAGCTCCTCCAAAGTTACTGCGGGCTAACTGGTAACTCTTCTGGCTGAATCGCTCTATTTCTGCAGCTGTTGGAAGGACCTTCGAAATTCTCGTTCTGCGTTTGTTGGTCTTTATGATGCTGTTTGCTCACTGACATAAGAAACCTCTGAGGCTTTTGCAGAAAAAATGGATGGATTCGGTTTCATCCAATGAAAGCACTTTCAGTGAAATGTTTGCCAGAAAATAAGTAGAAAATAAGGAATGTCTTCTTTTCCTTCAACTTCAGAATAATGTGCTAATTTATGTTGGTTTATTGTATCAAACCCCACCAAAAATGCATTAAAGTTTTCAGTTCTGTTGCATAAAATTGTAAAAAGAAAAAAAACCCAAAGTGCAGTAATTTGCTACCTTTTAAAAAGGGAAATCCAGACTAATAAATCTCAAAAGGATTTAAGTAGCGACTTGGTCAGATAAAAACACACACATGCTCTTCTCCTGATACTGCAGTCTTAAAATGAGTGTGTCCCTGTCAAAAAATGAAACCTTTCATCAGAGCTCAAGCTGCTAAACTTCAGCTCTGATCGGTGATAAGTAATGATCTAACTTCCTGTGACATCAGCTCATCAAGTTGGCCCAAAGAGCTTCCACATTCGACCCGAACGGTTTAAAGGTCATCGCTCTGAGCTGGAAAAAAAAAGAAAAAAGAAAGTGAAGCTGTGCCTCAGTTGCATGAGCTCAGAAGAAGAGAGCTGATCAGGCATAATAAATGCCCTTGTTGCATCACGATGGCAGCATAGAAAAATTGCGGTTCAGTGATCTGGGCCAGGATCAGCAGATCCGAAGTCCTTTGAATTCAGACTTCTCTTCTGGCACACGTCTGCAGTCACACAGGGCTGTTTCTTGCCTCTTCGGAGGATTTGTGAACATAGTTCATTTGAGTTGTGTTGATAGAAACTACGATGTGGCACATAACTTTGGGAATGCCGTGTAAATCTAATACACATATTCCTCAAGCCCTTTTCAATCAACAAGTTTAAAACCTGCCATAAAATCAAGGTGTGGGGAAAGTGTGTTTCCTGCTTCTGAAATAAAAGTCTGGAGCATTTCATGTTGTGTTTGTGTCCCCGTGCAAATGAAGCGAAAAGGAGCCACCCGCCGCCGTTTGTTTGATGTAGGCCGTTACATTATGTTATCAATCTGGAGCTGTCCAAAGTTGTTTCTGTGAGTTTATGCCTGTTGTTAGTGAAACATTATCCAGATCTCTGGTGACTCCTGGAAAGGAAATAGCGGACGAAGCTTGAGAGTCACATGGAAACAGCGGAAAGTGGTTCTTGTTTGGAAAATGGTTGGGATTACGGAGTTTGCTTCTTATCTAAAAGACCGTCCCTTTGAGAACAACTTCTTCCACAGCACCCTAAATACACCCTGGTTGCAATTGCACCTGCACTGATTCTTCAATCTTATTTAACACGTGATTATTTTCTTGCTCGACCTCTAAAATTGTAATGAAGCTTGGATACTGTTCCTCACTTAGATTACAAGACGCACCAATCAAGCTTCTCCTTGTTAATTTAGATCTGTTTTCTTTGAGATTTGATCAGCCAGATCCAATTATGACAAAACGATTTCATGTTTTAGATGACTTCGTCACACAACAGAGAAAAAATGTTCTAGGATTGAGATAGTTGGAAATGAACAAATTGCTCAATTTATGCATCAGGGAAACACTTCAAATGTGTTTCTTTAAGATGTTTGCTTAGATTTATTACTTGTCTTTTAAACCGTGTATGATTTATTAGTTTGACCTTAGATGTTTAATCAACAAACAACTGCAAATGGTCAGATAATAAATAGAAAGTTCCTGGAAATTGAAGCTAAAATGGCCCACGTTCAAAGAAAACACTAAAGTCTGGCTGCTTAACGGCAATAATAATACTACTAATAATAATAATAAATAAAAAAACGTTTTGCACAGTTGCATCTCTAAACGGACCTTTAACCAAAAGCACATTCTGTCTTACGTTTCCTGAAAACCAGATAAATTTGAACTGTTGTCATAACTGGGAACCAATCGACTCTTCCTACTTTTTTCTTTAATTAAATAAAAGCGATCTTCTGATGTGAGTGACTTTCAGACTTCTCTGCAACGCGCAGGGTTTCACTTTGTCCCATAAATAATTTGGACACTTAAAGCTGAACTCACAGGCAATCTTGCTCGACGCCATGGTGTCGTTTGGGAGCGTTTGTCTTTGGAAAAGGTTTCAGGTGATCCGGGGCGCCGCGTGGTCATGTGGGCTCAGCTGTTGCTCCTCGGCTAAGTTTGCATCAAATGCTGGCTCCAAAGCAACACAGTGAGATCATGCTTTTAATTCTGCAGTACTCCTCCCAATGCCACGCAGAGACAGAGAGCTTCACAAATGATTTTAAGTGACATCTGGTGTTTGGGTGTAGCGCATCATTTCCCTGCTAAACCAGAATAATGGCTATGCACTTGGGATCAGGAATTGTTGAAACAGAAGGGTTTCCTTTCCCTATTTGATCTTTCTCTCGATGCGAATAACATCCATTACCTCCATTACCTGGGTCAATAGAGCGGTGCAGAGGATCGAGAGGGCTTGTTGCAGCTTGAGAAAGCTCTCAGGGCTGCGTGCTGCTGTCGTAGAGGCCATTTTGTGTAAGTAGCAGCCGGTGATTGTTTGTATGTTGTTGCTCCAGTAAAAGAATCAGCCTGCAGACACATCCTCACATCAACAGCTTTTGTTGCAGCAGTGAGAGACTTAACTTGTGTTTACAGTGAAAACTGGCAAAAGGAAGGAAACAGGAAGTAAAGTTTTGGTTTAGGGAGTTAACCGCGGCCTTGTCTTTTAAAACTCGCAGGGAACCGGGGATTAAGTCGAGTCACTTTTTAGTTTTTCAGCTTTAATATTTTTTTATGATGATAATTTTATAATTGACAAAGATTAATGGTTTGGAAACTGTCATCTGTCCTCTCATCACATTTTACAGTTTGAAGGCTGTTCCTATTAAATGCCACTGAAAAAAGTATTATTATTACTATTTTTTGGATATAATTTAGTTTAGCCATCACATGAATAATTAAATGAATAATTTAAATGACATAAACAAATCTCAAAAAGGGTTTAAGTAGAGTAATATTTGCCTCTGGGGAAACAGTTTATTGATCCCTACGGGGGAAACCGTTCACATTTTGGCACAGCCTGTCAAAATAACAAAACTCAAACAAACACA